ATTCCAAAAGCTGTCGTACTGAAAAAAACCATAATATTTTGAAAGTGATTTGCTTGAGAAGAATTTTTTTATAAGAAATGAATTGCTAATATTCAGAATTGATGTGCAAATGCATAAAAATGTGATGATATTGTTAATTTAACGATGTTTATTTTTTCTTTCTGTAAACTTAGAAACTTTTTTTTACTCGCAAATTAGAGGTACCTACACCAAGTAAACCGCAAGAAGATGTGTATCGGTAAGTAAAACTCGAAGCCCTGTTTCTAAATTTGATTTTCTTACCTGTTAAAATAGTTTCTAAGTAATCGAGAGTTGAAGTTTAAAGCCGTAGTGCTAAAGTCACATCGTCAGATAAAGGTGGAAGAGAATGGCGCAGTAGTAACATGACATCGGGCAACAGAGCGTTAAAGCAAGAAACATGCCGCTAGATATTTTAAACATTTTCATAAAATGCAAATTTCTTGTTGGTGATGGGTAAATAAGCAGTTGTAAAACATGTTTTAGTTCAATCAAGTTCCTGTACTTCAAAAATTTAACTAACAGGTTTTGTTTCAAATGAAATTTCAGCAAAATTTGAAAAATTTCGTAGTTTTTGATGGGTTAGAATAGTCGATAGAATAGGAAAAATTTTTATTTAAAACAAAACCTCAAAATACTGTTATTTAAAATTTTTGAAGTACAGAAACTTGATTGAACTAAAACATGTACAACTGCTTATTTGTAAACCGCTGTAAGCTACGAGATTAAGTATTTTTCCAAAATTTCATAAGTGAATATTGAGTTCTAAACATTGATCTTCGTTTCCTTCGCTCTATAGGAATGACCTCTGCTTTCCAATAACTAAGGGATATGTGCCATAATTCCTCTAATACCAAAACTTTTAATATACAACCTCTTACTCTTATGATACACGTATTCTTTCGTATACTGCTATATCGCCTTCATAAATTTTTCGGGAGAAGTGTTTAGTTAGTTTGGATCATCAAACTCTCATTTCAGAATTATATGATGATTTGTACGCCTATAGTAAATCACTCAGTAGTTTTCTAACTTTTGCAAGCGAGCAACCGACTTTTTTTCAGAGGCTTTCGATTATGAAAGATGTAGGATAAAAGCTTACCGCATGCAGTCTGTCCTGTGGCTGCGGCACCATGTAGGGGTATGGCCTCATCTTCGTTCATGACATCAATACGAGCACCATTTTCGTACAAAAGCTGAACATAAACGTTGAGTATCTCCTATTGCCAAATTTATTTTAATACTTACAGTAACCACTTCCATATAGCCATTGTGGCAAACTAGATGCATCGGTGTGTACTGTGTATGA